TTTTTAATCAAATTTGCTAGTCTCAATAAAAATAAAAAAAGTTACTGGAAAAGGTAATGGTTTGTATCCCTAAAATATATGCATCATCATCTTTAACACTAAATTCTAGCTGTGTTTTAGGTAATGCCATGAAATCATTTAAATTTTACTATTTAATTTCCACAACAGCACCTGACTTGGTACCCTCACAACCCTTGTTTTACAGGATTAAGAAATCAAGCCTCAGAAAGACTGAGACAGTTGCATGAGATTACAAATGTAGCAAAAAGCACAAAAGGCTTTGAACCTCACTGTTCGGTACCTAGACAGATTCTGTGGGTGTGAGGAAGAAATTCTATTGAAAAAAGGCTTATAATTCACCTAATTAAAATTTATTGGCTATTATGTATTCATACTTAGAGTGGCTAAATTGGTTCACTTAGGCAAGAGACTGTATCATATCATAAAAATGGAGACTTGGCATGGACTTGCTTTCAGTCTCTTGAGCCAGGTAGCAAATTCCAGCTACAAAACTAATATTACTAGACAGAGACCTCAACCGAAATTTGCCAACACTCTTGCAAGTTTTTTCTTGCAGATCCAGGAGGGGAGAGACCTTGCTGATCTTATTTATCACTTGATAAAGGTAAAGGAGTATATTAATGCTTGGAGTGTTAGTTGCTCAGTGTATCCAACTCTTTGCAACCCCATGGACTGTAGCCCGATAGGGTCCTCTGTTCATGGAATTCTCCATTCAAGAATACTGGAGTGGGTAGCCATTCCTTTTCCAGAGGCTCTTCCTGACCTAGAGATTGAACTCACATCTCCTACATTGCAGGCAGATTCTTTACCTTCTGAGAAACCAGGAAAGCCCAGCGAAGTGTGGAAGACTCTGGCATTTAGTAATAGTGCTCAGTAAATATTTGTTGAGTGAACAACCAATCTTTTTCCAGGGTAAAATTCATGTGGACAGTCTCCACATTCCATCTTTCATATGGAATAAACAGATAGCCTGGAATGGGCAGGAGTACAACGAATGAGACCTGAAAACCACTCTGGGCTCCACTTTCCAAGTCGTGTGCCCCATCTGTATGGATGAGGGGTGCTATTTTCAAATTTACATATGTAATATGGGCTAGCAGTGATCCAGCCTGAAGGAAATTCATGAGATATGTATGTGTCCTTGAAACTGAGTATAGGTTAAGCATACTTTTTTTTTTCACATTTTTTTTTTATGTGCACCATTTGTCAAGTCTTTATTGAATTTGCTACAACATTGCTTCTGTTTCATGTTTTGATTTTTTTGGCTGTGAGGCTCCCTGGCCACAGATGGAAACTGCACCCCCTACAGTGGAAGGTGAAACCACTGGGACCACCAGGGAAGTCCCTAAATGCACTTTCAACAAATAGATTTTTAGTACTTGGGGAAGCAAAGACTTCCATGTCCCTGCTTCTGGCAATGTTTGACCCACCAATATTCTGACAGACAAGCCATACTATACCAACTCTTTTCAGTGGTGAACCCCTCACAACCCCCAGGACTCCCTTAGTTCTGCCTGGGATGGTGGAAAGACTGCAGATGCCAACAGCTTGAAGAACACTCTTCTCAAATGTGTATTTTTCAAAGAGGTTTTATGATTCCCTAGCACCTACTTCAACTTTGTGATTTGATAGAAGGCTTCTCAGACTTGATTTAATAAATAAAGATATTGATTGTTTTGAGTTTCCTGGCTCTTTTTACAGTTCTGGGAATGAATTACATTGAGGCTTGTCAATATTTATGTCAGTTTGCATTATCTCCCTGTGTTTCTTGATTGGAGTGCTACTGATGTTTGGGGTGGGTCAGTTCTTCATCGTGGGGACAGTCTCCAGCATTGTAGGATATTAATATTCTTATCCCTTCCCCCCCCCGAATGCCTGTAGTGCCTCAAATCACTGATACACACAGATATTTCCCACATAGTTCCAAGCACCTCCATGGGGAATGGCACCCCTATTTAGTGCCTCAACTGATCACAAATTACAGATGACTGAGATTTGAAAATAGCCAGGATTGAACATCACCAGACTCCCCAGGGAAAGCATACACCTGGCAGTTGGTCAGCCATCCTCCTCTTTATGCACCCTTCCACTTCCTCTTTATCCTTTAGAGTCTTTATTATGAAACCTGTCAAACTGAGGTCTGCACTGTTTCAAAGGGAAAATGCTTCCAGTACCTTAGAGGCAGCACAATGTGGAGGGTGTAGGAAGCTTAGTTTGACGTTAGTTTGACGTTCTGTTTGTTTTCATACATGACATATGATGTATCCAGGCTCCAAATCTATCCATCTGTCTGACAGTTATTGCCTGTACCAAGTGCAATGCTGGTGGCTTAACACACTTTTATTCTCTTTTATCCTGACAACATTTTTGCCACCTTTTAAAATGCCTTTTACATTCTCATTTTCTAGATGAAGAAGCTAACACTTTAAAAGGGTATACATAAAGCTGATCCACTTCGTTGTACAGTAGAAACTAACACAACACTATAAAGCAATTACACTTCAGCAAAAAAAAAGGTATGAAATTTGGTCAGTAAACTTTCTGATTCTAGTATCTATTTTCTGACAATAGGATGGTCTCTTGCTGTTAATCAAGTGAAAAGTCTTGCAGGAGTGAATGGAGATAGGAGGGCCAGAAAAAGGTTTCTATTCAAAGCACATAGAAGTCTTATCCCCCAGGACACACCAAGTGGCATCATTAGCGTTCAACCTGTCACCACCAGCTGGAGTTCCAGCTCATCTCAGATGAATGTGGGATGGGGGCGGGGGGGAGCCTCTGCAGGCAGTTTTCTACTTGGCACTGGGAAAGGAGTAAATTGGCTGTTGATTCATTAATAAACCAGGATAGTGTGTGGGCACTAATACCAGTCAATTCTCTGCTACTGCCTAGAGAATGTGGCTGCTACACCTCCCCTTCCTGCTTTGCTGCAAAAAACCATCCAAGACAGGATATCTCAGGAGAGGAAGGAAGAGAGGAAACTGACTGGTTGGTCCTAAGGAAACTGATACGGTGGTTCCAGGGTTCCAGCACGGGATAAAGTAGCAGGAGGAGAATAGACATTGTGACCCATTCACACCATTCATACACTCATTCATTCATTCACTTTGTAATATTTATTGGGCATCTACCACTAGCCAGATTTTCTTCTAGGTGAAGCTACACCAACAAAAAAAAAACAAACAAATACCCCTGCCCTCATAGAGCTTATATTCTAGTGAGGGGACACAGACAATAAGCATATTAATACATGGAATAATATATCAGACAGAGACAAGCACTCTGAGCAAAAAATTGCAGGCAAGGGAGAATAGAGCTTGCGAGTGTGTGTGGTGGGGGGGGGTAGGGAGGTTGATTTTAAAACAGTGATCAGAGAAGCTCTCAGTAAGTGACATGTGAGTAAAGATCTAAAAGGACCACCATGCTGGGCCCTGTTCCAAGAGGTTCCCACTTTATCTCATTAACACAACCACCCTGAGAAATATGGCTATGATTATCCCCACTTCACAAAGAGGCTGAGGTGAAGAGAGATGCAGTGATATCCAGAGATCACACAGCTAATACATGATGGAACTAGGTAGGATTTGAACCCAGGTAGTCTGAAGTTCAGCGGCTGAACCCTTGAATGTTGGTGCAGACAGCCTACAAACGGGGTATGAGGGCAAGCTGTGAGTGCAAATGAAGCCTTCGTGTGCACCCAGGAAGCCAGTACAGTGCCACCCATGGGCAACTGTGGCTGGACTTGCAGGGAGGAAGCGGGTAGAGGCTCTTGATATTACCGAGTTTACTGGGACTCTCCCTGCGGCTGGGGAGCTGGGTCGGCGAGGTGGGTGAGTGGGGGAGGGAGCTCGCTGCAAGGGTTGACCTGGGCCAGCTGCCCCCGTCAATAAGGTTAGGACCTCACCAGAGCTCCTCACCCTCCTGGGTTCTCGCAGAGCTCCCACCTGGGCGGCTGAAGAAGGTAGTGGAAGTGAGGGCAGGAAGTAGCACCAGCAGCTTCTACTGCAGAGAGAGGCACAGAGTTCACGGAGGTCAGCACAAAGGGCTAGCTGCAGGTGTCCCCAGTGCATTCCCGGGCCTGGAGGGGCGCCTGGGAGCCTTTGGGGAATGGCAAGAGAGGTGCAGAGAGACACGACTGAGAGACTGAACTGAAGAGAGGCGCAGATAGGGTCCCTGTGCAGCAAGTGAGAGAGGAAGGACCAAGCGCTGGGATAGAGTAAAAGAGAGGAGAGCGCGCACACTGTTGCCTACAGCGGCACAGGGGGAGCCGAAGAAATGCCTGGAGAGGGAGCAAGCTCACTGGAATAGAGGGACCAAGAGGTGAAGAAGGGTCAGCTGGCGGAGGAAGGAGTGCAAAGGAGCTGGTGTCCCAGAGAGGGCGTGCTGAAGTGTGGGACCAGGGGTTGAGAAGACACTGGGAATCGCTTAGGGACCCTCAGAAGGTGGCCGGGCGGCACCCCCGGCGCAGCAAAGACAAGACAATGTGCCAAAATAAATAGAGACGGTGCTGCCGCTTGAGACCCGGAGCACCACAGAGGCCAGGAGGGCGCAGAGCCTGCGCTCTCAGAGAATGGGGCACGCTGTTGCTTTAAGAGTGGTACACTTTGAGGCTCCAGAAGAAAAGGTTAAGGAGAAGTGGATGGGCGCCCAAGAATGTCGGAGGAGGCCGGGAGGGAAGCCGGAAAGTCAAAGGAAGAACTTGCTTGGGTTGGAGAGAATACACAGCACTGCTGGAAGTGGAAAGCCGCCCGGGTGAGGCTTGGTCACGGTTCTGAGCGCCACCGGGAGCAGAAAGGCGGCACTGATGGTTGGAGGGAGAGTGTGGAGAGTCTGAGAAAGGTGAGCAGAGGACAGAAAAGCCCGGGTACCCCGGGCAGTGAGGAAGGGAGTGGTGAAGAGGGGAGAGTGTGAGGAGTCCCCACGAGGGGATTCTGCCGCTCGGGTCTTCTGTGCCTGGCTGCTGCGGGTTCTAATTTACTCACCATGATGGAGAAGACTAAAGCCACGATGTTGATGGGGTACGCGGGGCAAAAACACGCGACGATGGCAAGCCACAGGTAGTTCTGGGGCTTGGGCACGTCCTCCTCGGTCTTGTCATCGTCAGTGTTGGCCTCAGGACTGCTGTCCAAAGCCCTCTTGACGTCCGAGCTGGGAGCGTACTGAGACATGGGCGAGGTTGGCCGTGCCGGGAGGTGCAGGAGCGCACTGTCGGCGCGGTCTGGGGCTTTGGCCGCAGGCTCCTGGCGAGTCGCTGAAAAGCCAGTGGTGCGGGACTCCAGGGAGACGTAATCTCACCCCTTCTGCGCCCTCCACTTGCACCTGCCTGGGCTCAGGGACCCGGGCCAAGAGTCTCCGGCACCGGAGGGAGGGAGAGAGCGAGGGCGTGGGGGAGGCAGCGGGGAGGATGGAGGGAGCCAGCCAGCCGGAGAAACAGGGGAAAGGCACCCCTTTAGGACACACCCAGGGGCCATCAAGCAGACACAAAGACTTACAGGTTGAGAGTCTTACAGGGAAGGGAAAGGGAAGACTCTTTACACGGCAGACTGACTGACCTACAGGCGGAAGATGACCAGCTCCTCTTTTAAAGCAGCTGAATTTGAATTCATTCAGCATCACAGGAGGCAACCCAACTCTATCCAGTTGGGCACCCAGCCCTACTACCCAGGAGGTAGCAGACTTCCTACTTCCTCTTGCCTTTAGTGATTTGCTTTCCCGGCTCTAGGATCCTTCTTCTAAGAGTTTGAACACTGAGTCTCACTGATTTCTCTTCCCCAGCTGGTGGGCAGGGAGCAAGGCGCTCAGTCTGGGGCACTAACACACCGCCGAGGGGGCCTCTGGAGACTGGTGTGTCCACAGGCAGCAGGCACCGCCCAGGCAGGGCCTGTCCCGGCACCCTCTACTTTCTCCCAAGTGTGCCGTCAAGGAGTCCTTCTCCTCTCCACTTTTCCACCTTGGAGGAGAGAGAAGCAGGTAGATCTAACTTGTGCAAACAACCCAGGTGGTTACTTGGGATGGACAGAAGAGAGAGGGGTCCACTTTGGGAACTGGAGTGAGGGTAGTTGAGACAGATCAGCATCTGAGCAATTCATGAAAGATGGTATGGACCAGAACTGGGGCTCCAAACCAGATGTAGTGGGGCAATCATCACATCTGAGCTGAATGACCTCAGAACACTTCCCTCACCTTGCTGACCGCCAATGTTTTCATCCAAAAGAAATGATAATAATAGTGGAATAATGAGAGTCCCTGCCTCATCACAGATATTGTTAAAGACTATGAGACTGCATGTCAAGTCAGTCTAAGTGTTCAATAAATTTTACCTATTATTAGGACGATATTCCCCCAAAATATAGTTATTAAAGGGCTTCTCAGATGGTGCTAGTGGTAAAGAACCCACCTGCCAATGCAGGAGACACAGGTTCGATCCCTGGGTTGGGAAGACCCCCTGGAGGAGGAAATGGCAACCCACTCCAGTATTCTTGCCCGGAGAATCCCACAGACAGAGGAGCCTGGTGGGCTACAGTTCATGGGGTCTCAAAGAGTCAGACACGACTGAAGTGACTTAGCACAGACACCTACAGTATCTCAAACCCAGTATCTCTTGCTGTAAACAATTTATGAAAAATTCAGCTAGTCTGAGTTGGCAGGACCACAAAGAAATGCAAATAATTTCAGTGTGCACAGTTTCAAAAGCAGTTGCTCACACCATCACATGAAGAAATGAGATGAGGTGAGGAAAGAATATGCATCTGCAGTCTCAGAACATGAACTGATTGATTGATGGTCTGGGATGCTCTCATTCATAGCATAGCCCTCTCTGATTTGAATATCTACCTCCCTCACTGGATGGCAAACTCCCTGAGAGAGGGAACTGCCTTGCTCATCAACACTTGGCACATATCTGTATTTTGTAATAAACATGTGCTTTCTGGGTAAACATATGAAGATGACACATCACTTATATGGGGAACCTTAAAAAAAAATGATACAAATGAACTTATTTACAAAACAGAAACAGATTCACAGACATAGAAAACAAACTTATATGGTTCCCAAAGGGGATAGCGGGGGATCCCATTGTGGGGGGAGAGATAAATTAGGAGTTTGGGATTAACATATACAAACTACTATATATAAAGCAGAGAGAGGTAACAAAAGCCTACTGTATAAGCACAGGGAACTATATTCAACACCATGGTAACTTATAATGGAAACTGAAAAGGAGTATCTGTATCTATCTGACTCTCTGTGCTGTACACCTGAAACAATACGGTAAATGAACTATACGGCAATTTTTAAAAATGATTAAAAAAAAAAGGGAAAATACCACAGTATCTTCCCCACCATGCCTTCTCCCCCATTTTGGATGGTTAATCAAGTAGGAATAAGCCAGAGAATTAGGTTCAACTACTGAGTTCTCAACCAAACCTTTGCCTTGAATGCTTTTCCCTGAGACTGTCACATGGCTGCTTCTCCTTATTTCTTATCTGTCAACTGAAATGTCACTTCCTCAGAGAGACAGAGAGTTTCTCTTTACATTCATCTAGTGTAGGTCCCCATAATTATTATATATTTTATTAGTTTTTTTGGGGGGTAACATTTATCACTACTGTAATTTATTTGTGTACTTGTTTGTTGTCTATTCTTTGTTGAGACTAATAAACTCTGTAATCTGTTCAGGGCTGTATCTCCAGAACTTAGAATTGTCCTGGCAAATACTAGGGATGCAAGAAATAGTTCTTGAATGAATGGATCAGAATTACCTATGAGTGTTGAAAAATGATTTCCAGATCTTGATCAAGATCTACTTGAATGAGAATTTCCCAGAGTGGCACCCCAGAAATCTATATTTAGAATGCCTGGGAAATCTGTATTTTTAGAACAATCCCAAGTAATTTTGATGGAACTGAACATTTTCTCAAATCCCAATACCATCTCTAGCTCTCAGGATGCAGGCCTGGATCTTTCTTTTTTAGGTCCCCTCTGGTGCCTCAAATTCAGCATATCAAAGATTAAAGTGTCCTCCCTAAGAACCTGCTTCTCAAGGCTTGGTCTGTGGATAATGGGTCCCGCCCATTTCTCTAACCTCCTCTCCAGTCAATCTTCTCCTCTATGCCCAGTTACATAGGACTTTTTTTTTTTCTCCTCTTCTCAAGGAGTACATCTAGCCTTTTTCTAACCCAAGATCTTGGACCTGTTTCTTCTTCCAGGAATGCATCCCTTCCTCCCTTTTATCTGTTGGCTCCTTCTTGTTTTCAGGACTCATCACTTCATGTATTACCTTCTGAGAGAGTCCTTCCCTGACCGTCATATATATATCATGTTTCCACAACTTAAATGTCCAAAAACAGATGAATGGATAAAAAAGATGCAGTACATATATACAATGGAATATTACTCAGCCATGAAAATGAATGAGACTGGATCATCTATAGTGATGTGGATGGACCTAAAGTCTGTCATACAGAGTGAAGTAAGCCAGAAAAACAAATATCATATATTAATGCATATGTGAGGAATATAGAAAATGGTACAGATGAAACTATTTACAAGGCAGGGACAGAGACACAGGCATACAGGATGGACATGCGACCATGGGGAGGGTGGGCAGGAGTGCCGGACATCGGGAGAGCAGCACTGACACATACACACGACCGCGTGTGGAGCGGGAGCCAGCAGGAAGCGGCCGTATGGCTCAGTGAGCTCAGTTAAGTGCTCTGTGACGACCCAGGGGTGGAGTGGGGGTGGGTGGGAGGCAGGCTCAAGAGGGAGGGGCTATATGTATACATACAGCTGATTCACTTTGTTGAACAGCAGAAACACAACATCATAAAGCAGTTATATTTCATTAATAACAAATAGCAACAATAACAAAAAATAAAGCAGACTTCCATAGTCTTATTCACCATCCTATTACCCTCTTTAGTTCCTTCATCACAGTTATCACAACCAGAGACTGTCTTATTTGCTATTTATTGTCTGTTTCCCCCAGTAGAAGGCAAACTCATAAGAGCAGAGATTTTCTTCTTCAGTTGGTTCATCGTGGTGTCTCCTAGGCCTTGTTCCTGGCCCTAAGTAGGTGCTCAACAGATACTTACTCAACAAACTGTGCATGCAGTCACCCACATTAGGAACTTGAAGGCAAAATTCTTTTCTCTCCTTCAGCCTCTACACGAACAATTCATCATACCCTACTGACGCCATCTCAAACACAACACTTCACCCCATCCTCTGTACCCATCCCCACGGCCAGTGTTCCAGTTACAGCTCTTATCGACAATGAAAAAACTCCAGTGGCGGCTGTATGAACTGTATTTGTGATGTGAGGCTGGTGAATTTAGTAGGTGTGACTAAGCTCCTGCTGCAGTCCATGGGGTCACAAAGAGTCAGACACGACTTAGCAACTGAACAACAAAGCCCAAGGATTGGGCACCACATGGAATTTTGCTGCTTCAAGGTCATGAACTGCACCATCCACTCCAATCCATTTGTGTCATGCTGGAAAATACACAAAAAAAGATTGTTGGTTGTTGACTCAGAATAGCCAATCTCCTCTGTCAGGAAAACAACTGCTCAACACTGATCCAACACTGGAATCACCAAACATTTCCTACTGTGTACATTCAATGCATTCCCTAGACGCATCATCGCACTTAATCCCTACAGCTCCATTTATAAAGTAGGTGGAGAGGTTTCTTTTTCTTAAAGCTGAGGAAACCTAAGATCAGATGGGTTAAGGGTCTTGTGGAAGGCATTATAGCTGAATGGAGGTGCCAGGATTTGAACCATGTCTAGGATACTTGTTCAGCAAGCTTGTCCAGGTCAGAGAGGTAGCTGGACATCTCTGAAGTTTGCTAGAGTTATAATATGCTGTTCAGGGAAGATGGATTAATAGCTTGTTGACTGGTCTAAAATGTAGCAGTGAAACTGCAATCACTTGAAATATTTACAATTAGATTGAAAAGAAAGTGCCCATACCAGAAAGTGTAATGTATATGGCTTTGATTCTTGAGGGATGCATTAGACCACTCGGTAGGGGTTTCTAGCTCTTATTTCCTGAGCTTCACTAATTTTCTCTTGAGAGGTCAACTTATTGCTCTCTAACCTTACTGGCTGATTCCTTAATAATGTAGCAATACCTTCCCTCTTTTAAAAGGAGAGAAGAAAGTGACTTCCTCATGGCCAGTCTAGAAGAGGGAAAGAAAACTCAC